TTTACTGTACTATCCACTCCGTTTAGGTCAGGGTGTGTCCTTTGTTTTGTTAGATTGAGTAGGTGTTTTACTGTACTATCCACTCCGTTTAGGTCAGGGTGTGTCCTTTGTTTCGTTAGATTGAGCAGGTGTTTTACTGTACTATCCACTCCGTTTAGGTCAGGGTGTGTCCTTTGTTTTGTTAGATTGAGTAGGTGTTTTACTGTACTATCCACTCCGTTTAGGTCAGGGTGTGTCCTTTGTTTTGTTAGATTGAGTAGGTGTTTTACTGTACTATCGACTCCGTTTAGGTCAGGGTGTGTCCTTGAGCGAGACACAATAATAACACCAGCTACCCAACTCTGTCTGTATTGGAATATTAAGCAACCTTGGTAAACTGAATGTGCTATGTATACATGTGTGCCACTGTAAAACCCAAATTTCCCTATAGGGACTAACAAAAAGTGAAATTTTAATTTATTTTACACACCACCAGTGGCAAACAGATCTCAAACTAGAAACTTTGTTTGACCACAGAATTAGTTTTGTCGTTAGTAATCCTCAAGGAAATATATGATCTAATAGTTGACAGACAAAATCACTGATTCCTCTTTTCTCCCGAAATGAGAAAAGTAAAGTGTTATGTCAAGAGAAACCAAAAAAACCCCCAAAAAAACCCCTGAACAAGAAAAAACTCATAATTCTAGTGACAGCAATGTAATAAAGTGCACAGGAACTGAAAGGATACCGTGGGATGTAACCAACAAGATAAGTGACTACATTAGCCAACACAGACACGCAAAACAAAACAAAAAATGATAAATAAAATAAAATTTGGGAGTATCATTTTTCGACACATAGTCCACTTGAAACTTTCTTCTTCCAGTCTATCAAAATATCTCAATACCGGTATGAAACAACAGTGCTTGCTCGTCAACAGACAGCATGGTTTACTTTTCCTGCAGTTATTCCCTCACCAAAACTTTCCTGTGTACCTCATATTACTGTCTGGGGTGTGTCTCTGATCAAGCAAGATAGGACTCTGGGGTGTGTCTCTGATCAAGCAAGATAGGACAACACGAGCTAAACAAACAAGGGTATTAGTAAGAATACCTGTACTCTTGTGGGACTGTGTATATATGAGTGTGCACACGCACCGGCAGATATATGTACGTGTGTACGTGGAGAAACACCAAAGCTATGAGCCAGGATCTGGACAATAAAGATGTATCTTATCTTCTTATTGATGAATTTTTGTTTGTAATAATAAATACAGTACCTGAAATTACTTCCAAATTTCCCCAGGGTCAACAAAACCAGTGGTAGGTAGGGCCTATTTATTCACACTCTGTCGATTTCTGGCTCAACCTTGATGTAATGAGCACCAAGTATCAGAGACATTTGACTCTCTTGATCATCAGATACATTTTTTAAAGTCTATGGCAGAACGACGGAAAACGGAAATAATCATTGGTACCAGGCTTGGTCTTGAGACTCTGGCCTTTCCAAATGTTGAACCATTGTGAATTATGATGATGATCACACCTTTGAAAATAAAGCTATACTGCAACCCGAGTTAATTCCCAGAACTGTCTCACAATTCCTGGATATATAAAGACGTACATGCAGTTTGTGAGAAGGAAGCGACATCAACACCACGGAGTGCAAGGTTTTCAAACTAAACAAAAATTACAACAACAACAAAAACAACACCCCAAAATAAGAACGAACAAAGTGAACTCAAGACACCGACATTCAAGCATAACGAGTACGTGCCATAGCATTACACACAAACACACAAAAAGGTGGGTTGGTTACGAGTGCTACGGGTGGGTAACTGGTGGGTGTATCCCTCTCTTGCAAAACTACATCAAAGCCATAAAACGGATGACGATAAAATAAAATTAGCTGCGACAAATATCAAAGCGTACTGCCATGCGTGAACAGCAGTCCTAAAAATGCCTCCATTACACTTGAAAAGCAAGTTATTGTACAGACAAAAAGGTTAATAAAAGCCTAAAAACAAATCCTTGACCCTACTCCCCCCACCCCCCAATTAAACTTACTGACCCAACACAATTTCCTCAAAGGTATAACAACCCGTGAGTTGGATACACCAAACGAGAGCAAGAGAAAAATTACACACAAAGTGCAAACTTTTTCAAGCAGCATTTATTATTTCTTTTAGCCATAACATTTTTTCGATGTAAAATGAATAAAAATAAAAAAGAACGAAAATAAAAAAAGGGACATCTATGTTGGGTCGCCATAGGTTCACGGAGGTCGACCGACCCACATCAACATGTCCGCCCACCAAAACAAAACAAGACCCACATTATTCTGCCAGCCTGGACACCTCTCCCCCACTCACAGAACCAGAACATTTCCCTCAAAACTTTCTCTCTCTCCACTTAAAAAACCATTTTACTTGTCAATCAAAATCAAACTCAGCGTTATGTTTCATCATTAATGATCTTACATCCGTCATTCTGCCCAGAATATTTTGTATATATAATAATAATAATAATAATAATATACACTGTACAAGTACACTACTTTTAACTACCTCAAGTCACTAGAACCAGGTACATTT